TCCGGAAAGTCATTATAGGAATGTGATAAAATTATTGGAGAATCATTGGAATAAGTGTAAGGAAATTTTTGCTCACTTGCCCGAAATCCTTTTGAAAATATTATTGCAAACCCTTATCGTTATAATAAAGTTAAATTCTTGGCCATATCATTTAATTATATGCGTTTTATTTCTTCTCGAAAGCCACATTTCTAAAAAAAACACCCTTTATATATAAGCAATTCAGTTAACTAACTATTTATTATATTGATGTATCTAAGTTGTACTTCAGATGGAAAAATAATTACATTTGTCAAGAAGCGTTACCACCTGTAATGAAAGTAATGCAATAGGTCTGCTCAATCAACTCAAATAACATAATCCACACTGATGCCTGGAACTAGCTACAGATTCACTTTCGTTTTCATCTCATACTTGTGGTTATTATACTTTATTTCTAATGATAATCTATGCTAATTCTTTTACCTTACTTGCTTTTGTCGATTTCTTACACAAATTATTTCATTTTCATTCACATATGTAAATATGCATAAATACGCCCTGTAGGAAAATTCACATGCATCTACGAACTTTTCTTTAAGTAAACCTTATATTACGTCAATAAAATGCTACCTACCTCAATCAGTATTTATAGGTTTATTAGTATATGTTATAGGTGTTCTCAGCGATATAATATTATATTAATAAAATATGTTAGACTGTCAACTCTTATAAATTATCAACAAACTCTTTCATGCTTCAATAAATATCAAAGCTATAATATCTTCACAAGAGTACTTCTTACAGCACAAAAGGGCATAAAAATATCTTTATCTTGAATTGGATTGATCAGTTTGACTGACATTTATGTGTAATAGTGATCCGATCTGAACAATTAGATCGGAGATTTTAAAGCTGCCTTGGATATTAAACTACGGTAAAGTTCGTAAAGGTACATTGTCAAATAAAAAAGTTTGCCATATAGAGACTTGAGTTTAGCTTGGGGTAAAATGTGTAGATTATAAAAAGAGAAAATTTTTGGACAAAAAAAAAGTTTCTTTTTAACATCTAGAAGCGGCGCACTCAGTTTTAAAGTAAATTTGTGAGTTAAAATTATTTCGTAAAAAAATATTGATAAGTGTTCTAGAAGCTGTGGAGAGTCCTCTCTCTGGCCAATTAAAAGTTATCAACTTAGAAAAAATTTGTGTGGTCATTATTGGAGTTTTAAAAAAAGTCTTAAAAGACAACATGCTTTCCTTAAGCGTTAAAATAAGTTTTGAGTCAAAAACCGTCAGATTCGGTAATTTTTATATAAATGTAAAGAGTTTAAACGAAAACTAATTTTTTCTTGTCCAAAAAAATGTTTACTCGAAATTTACTTTAAAACTGAGTGCGCCGCCTCTAGATGTTAAAATTTTTTTTTCTGTTGTTTAAAATTTTTTATAATCTACAGAGCGAAGCAAAAAAAAAGATCGCTCCACCCTAGTGTATATGTATGAAAATACCCTGTTCAGCGAATAAAAAAAACTTGTCAACTTTGGCAGTTTTATACTATAAAGTTTAGGATCGTCTTGATTTCTTGAAGTTTTTAGTTTCGGATTTTCCTACTTGGGTTTTTTGATACAGGCGCAAATGTGTGAGCGACTAGTAAACTTGAATTGGTCGGCGCACAGTTTAACGTGCTGATTACCGCTGATCTTCTTTACTTCTTTCTTCTGTGTAAGGCAGCATTTGTTGTACGTGTTAAAGATTTTATTTAACGCATTTCTTTTATCAGCTTCTTCATCGTCCGCTTTGCTCATTGATATTAACTGTTGCTTTTTGTTGTAGCTGGCTTCTTAACAAAAATTCACTTTTGCTGGAAAAACTTTCACTAATCAGCGTATTTAAGCATGTTTGTATGCACGAATATGTTAATCTATAGGAGTTCATAATTGCATGTGTATGTATGTGTGTGTATGGATGTCTGGATATCCAACGCGTTTGGTCAGCACGAAATCGAATTTAAGTGAAAATTTCCAGCGAGTGTTTGTGGTTGTTGTTATTGGTATAAAGGGTAACACTCTTGCTACAAATGCGCAAGCTTAGCCAATCTTGAATTCGCTGCGCTTCTAAATGTAATCTTTGAAAAAAATAACAGCCTTTACATTCGAAGTGGTTTATGTGAAGTCCAGTGGTTGTTGAGTCATTCTTTTCGCATTGGTTTTTGGTTGTGTATTTTTTTATGTTTTTATTTATTTTGCACTTCGAAACTTTCATTAAATAGTCGCACACACATTAAAGTGGTTGACAGCAAACTTAGTTAATTTAAGTGCTTTGAGGCAGTTGCGAGAGAGCTCGAATATGGTAGCATGCCTCATCTGATCTTAATATTACATAATAGTTGGGATTGATGTAACAGTGAAGTTAATTGTCAAAGATAATTTACGCAATTAAATTTCTACCGTTTAATTGTCTGCTACTTGAAGTAATGTATCGCATTTATTATGAAAATAAAAGTTAAGTGTACGACTATATTATGAAAATGACAACAGTACTCTCTAGTTGGCAATAAAAATGTTATGAATTTTATATTGAATTATATAAAATGTGATGTCACTGGTAATTTAAACTTACTAAATGCATTCGCAGCAAATAAAATTGGTTTATACATACTTATGCAGTTATACCATACTCTCACAACATGCCGCTGCTGAGTATTATACCATAGTTTGGTTACCTAACGGTTGCTTGTAAGAACAAAAACTAATCGAGATATATATGAACTCATACTCGTATACCACATACTTATATAAATGATCAGGATGACGAGATGAATGGCTGTCTGTCCCCGCCCGTGCAAGCTGTAACTTGAGTAAAAATTGAGATATCTCGATGAAACTTAAATAAGTACAAAGGATCGTAATAGGGAGAGCATCTGTGGTTTGAAAATTTACAAAAAGTGGGTATAGCTCAGCCCTATAATGGGTTTAATGTACATACTTAAGTATATCATAAACCACTGAAGCTATTGAAACGAATTTGCTCAGGACAAAATTTTTTTGATACCTCTTTCTCTCCACATCCATAAGTATTAACTTTCACATTCAATATGGAACGGGAAGGGGTTCATAGGAGCCGGTATCAAAAATTGATAACGGGCGAACCGCCCACCGCCCACCTTTAGGTTAAATCTTATATCTTAAGGACTAATCAACTAATTTTAGCCCAATTTGGTCCATACTATAACTCTGAAATCTGTATCTGGCAGTGTGAAAATGGCTCAAATCAGACTCCAACCACTCCTATTTCCTATTTATAACAATTTTAAACTCCATCTGAGCATACATGTAAATCGAGAGTCAATGACGTTATAGAAATAAAGTTTTGTACAAATTGAGACTTTAAGGTGTTTCATCGCAGATTTAAAAACTGTCGTAAGCGGACCATAACCATACCTCATATTTATATATTAATGTGTGAGCGAACATCTTTTTCTGGTAGTAATATGCCGTAATATCAAAAATGGATAACATGGGGTCAATAGTACACCAGAACCCGGATACCTAATAAAAGAATTTAAATAATTTAATCTTAGGGTTGGCTTTATACTGCCAATATCTGTCAATATGTAAGGTATCTTACAATACTCAATATACTACATTAATGCCGAAAATGTGTGAAATGGAAAAAGAATATGAAAAATAAATGGTCTAGACTTTGGTCTAACCTCATATACTGATTTTCGATTCTCTGGTTGATGTTTCATTTTATACTCAATATATTATATTAAAATTAGCCTCTTTGGTTGAGTTCTCATTTGGTTACCTTGGACAAGCAAATTGTAGTGTTAAAACTAAGTGAGTCGACAATATACGAGTATACATAAGTTAATAAGATACCAAATATGATTGTAATCCTTTCACCCTTTCGTCGAATAAAGAATGTTGAATTTTTTCGCAACATTTTTAAATATAAAGCTTTGTAACAGCTGAAAGTATTACTTTGCATTTGATCTTTCCAAATTGCGGGAGTTAAAAATGTTTGGTTACACCCGAAATAGCTATTATTTACTTGTTACCCCCGAAGCAAAGTATATTAAGTGTTCCACGCGGTGATCTAAGTTCATTTAGTCATGTTCATATATAGTATAATAGGTAAGCGGTGTCACACCCATTGTTCAATTTTATATCGGCTCCTGAACGCTTTTCTGTGTCATCTTGAATGTGAAATTTTATTCTTCTGGTGAATTTACTTAGTGAGTTATGTCGCATGTAAGAGTGTTCAACATAACCGTTATAGGGACAGTGGACGTGGTTACTATCCGAATCAACCTATTTTCAATCCGTCGAGGAGGTACCGTCTGAGAAGGTACCGAAAGGAAAGGAGGTACCGAGATTTGGTTGTTTAGTTTTAGTGATTCGTGAGATAAGTAAATTAAATCTGCTATTGGGCGGGGCCACATCACTCTTTAAAAACTTTCAGCCCACTCGCGTATCTTAATCTGCTAAAAGGCATTTTGTGGGCGTAGCAATAGTCCGATTACGCCAATACCAATATTAACTTCCGCATACTACCATAAAGAAATTCGGATTTCAACTCGTCATCTTTAGCATTTGTATATACAATATATATATAATATATACCTATATACGAATATATAAATATACAAGTAAATCTGATTTGTATTAAATCGCTTATATCTCACTTTTATGACATGAAATTTCCTACAGCTTTGCCTTTAGAAGCTTTTCGACAAAACAAGTTGTTCACTCAAATTTTTCAAAAATATGTGAAAAACGTGAAAAATCAAATAGGAAGTACTTAAATCAAAATTAAGGGCTCAAATGTTCAGGGAATTTTATTTTCCAGCATCAAAAACAAAATTTTCATGTGTCCGCGAAAAAAAAAGTTTGAAATGAAATACCCAATTATATAATATATGTATATACATATATATATGTTATGAACGAGCAATAACTAACACAATAACACAAACATATATGTATTAACATTTATTATTTTAATATTTTTTTTGTTACCTTTTGTGCCGCGGCCTTCGTCATGAGGTATATCGTTGGAAAGCAACTGTTCCTCCTCGGATAGTTGTATTTTAATTGAGTTTTGCTCTTCCGAAGATCCATCCATGCCAACCTTTGCAGCGGCCGCTTCCGTCGGCTCATGTTTCATATCCGCATAGTCCACTTGATTGCGATAGAATTTCAAGCGCTGCGTTACATTTATATCGTGTGCGTCGAGTGCACCGTTCAAGTACGTGAAGACGTTCTTCTGGAAACAACTGACGGTGGGTTGCTGGTAGCAATCGCGTATAATGTCATCCCACAATTCATTGCCAGTGGAGAAGCGTCTCGCAAAAAGCATAAAAATTGAGTCGCCGCCATTTTTGTGGCCAGCATTGTCACTATCGTCACTGTTACCATTGATTTGACTTCGATTGCTCCTACTATAGCTGGGACTGGTTGTTGCATCGAGCTCTTGCCAATTGCTTGTGTTAATTGCTGCTGACGGGCTACCAAGCTCGTTGCTGGAGTTGAGTGTGTGGTTGTTTCTCGTAGTCGATTGCATTGGTGTCGTACTTTCGTACATGTCCACGGTTTCAGTTGGCGTCACACTTGCAACGGATAGCAGGATGACAAGTAGCAGCGCAAATGGATGGAGTTTGTCGGACAAGTGGCAGCCTTGCATCGCTCGCAAACGCAACGAATTTCTTGGTGTGACTGATGCTGCAGAAGATGATCTTGGAAAAAATAAGCTATTTGCTGGCGTTGCCCTACTGTGCCGATTTCTCACGCAGTGTCTGTGGTTAATCACGGCCGCAGCAGCTGTGTGACTATGTTTGCTGTTGTTGCAGTTGGCCATGTTGATGTCGACTTGTGGTTTTTGCATCCAATTTGGCAATATGATTGATCTATGGTATGTGTCGTTGTTTGTTGTTTTTGTAGTTTCTACTTTCAAATCAGCGGTTCTCATCATCGCGTTTGCTAGCAAACCTTTTTGGTGGTAATAGTTTCGCAGTTTTTTCTGCAGTTTTTGTTGTAGATGCGTCCACTTCTGTAGTTGGTCGTGGCTTTGCTGCATTTGTTGGTATTGTTTATTCAATGATATTCACGTGCTTTGTTTTAGTGGTGTTATTTAGAACTTCTCCTTTTGCAATATTTACTGCTGGCTTAATTATAACGTTTAACTACTTTCTACTTCTTTGCGATTTTAGTGAAGTCACTTTTTCTCAAGTATCCGGCTGCACTTGTTGCACTAGTCAATGGCTTTGCACATTCAATTAGGTTAGTATGTTTAGGATATGTGTGTGTGCACGATTATGTTTACGAAAATAAAAAAGTAAACAAGTATAATATCGAAAGGGATATTTCAACCAAAAGGGCTCAAATTATAGCACAAAGGCTTGACTCTCGATTCTGAGTTCTTCGCTTTGAGAGTTATTTAAGAATGAAAATTTGTTCAGACAACTTGGAAAAGCAATAAGGATCTCATATATCAGAAATCGACTAGATAAACCAAGAAAAAATATATATTTCCGTATTCATTTGCACCACACTCTACCAACTTTAGTTGAGTCATGGACATATGCAACTATTTTATATATAATATACAAATTTAAAAATGTTTTTCAAGAAGATCTAAGGATAATTTAGTACATCTAAGGATGCTAGAGCGAGTCGAATATATATATGGTTTCTAAAAACCAATCAGTCTTCTAAAAGTCTTAAAGAATTTCACCTTCTTGCCAGAAGCCCCATAGAGTCTAAATATTTCCTCTGCTTTCAAGATTTAGATGATTATTTTCAGTTGTCTCAACAACTTTTTTACAAATTATTTAATTTGATCTTTGGCTGGAAGTTTGTTGCATAAATCTTTTGTTTTCGCCATATTGAGCAAATTCAACTTATACTTAGTTAAGAGCACTTATTATCGGTACGACTAATCGCAGTAAAAGGGTTATTAGACACCGTTTAAGATAATTTTGTACCCAAAAGCGTGTAAACCTTTGAAAACAATTACTTAATATGTTTAACGACACATTCCTTTGCTTATCCCAACTCCAATATACATGAACAATGAAGCTTACAAATCAACAATTTAAGCAGATTTAAAGAAAAAATCACAAAAAAGGTAAACAAACTTTAGTTGGAGCACAAAGGCCCGCTCGGCGTTTGTGGGTGAGTATGTCAAAATATTGCCCACTTTTCGAACAATTTCACTACGTACGCGCTTAAGCCGACTCTTTGAACTATTGTGTGTGAAACCCAATGCTTATTGTTGTTTGAAGTTTTCTATGCCAACCATTTAACTACCAATCAATTGTCACTTTCGAGCATTTGAATGTGTTGAGCGGTATTTGTTACTTTCTTTTAGCGTTTGCACTTTTAAAAATTGAATATTTTGCGCAGAAATCGTAAACGGTTTGAAACTGCCAATAAGCACATTCTTGGGTACTTTTCTACATTTTTTTTTTACCGTTTATGCTTGAAAATTCAGCCGATTTGGTATGTCGCACTCTATCTAGGTGAGCCTAAAGAGTACACACTTATTAATAATTAAAAAAGTAACAACAAGCACATTTTTTTCACACACTTGCTGTTTATGCTTTACGCTAATAAAGTGGGTGCTCGTATTCATTTATTCAGTTATTTTTGTTTATTTCGTTGTTGTTATTATTATTTAGTGTGCTTCACTGATTTTTGTCACTTTTCGTCGACTTTGACTTTCACAATTTAACACATTGCGTTTTACACATTAACATCGCTGCGCGTAAGACTGTCACCGCTGTTTGTTTGTTGTTATTATTGTGTTTAATATTCACTTGGAGCTTTCGAATTCCTTACTTGCATATAAGGCCGTCATATAAATTGTATAGTAGGGAGCGTTATCGTGTGCGTGCGCATGCGTTGTCATCCGGTAACTGAACGTGTAGAGATCATGGCGCGCATTTTTCTTCTTTGCAGCGGTACGCTTTGTGGCCTGAAATTAGCGCCAGTCACATAAAAATAACAAACACTCTGCTGAGGTAATTATCTTGTGGTAGGAGGAGATTGTGGCAAGTTAACATCAGCCGCTTGAAGACTGGTTTTAATATTTTTGCTTCGCTGCTATGAAGCTGTGAATAGAAATATGTATATATTTTGTTGCCAATAACGCGTTGGCTGTCAAAATTGCAATTCAGCTTGGCTTAACTGCTTTCTGCAAGCTCTTCTTCATCCCATTTACTATTCATTTGCTTATATTTCTCTCCTTGTCTCTCTCTCTCTCTCCTCTAGTTTTAATGCTTTATTTAACGGTTTTTTGCTCACTAGTATTTGCGCTCTCTTAAATAGCGCTGACTTCGTTAAGTTTTCTTCAAACGTTGCACGTTGAACGAAAACGGTATTTGCTGCATACTGCCGTGACTTTTCGAACGCCTTTTGAGCTTGTGTTTTGCATATATGGTATGCCTTGAGGCAACAGCTGTGTTGTCAGACTTCTGCCTTATTGAGCGTAGACGGTTGTTTGTTTTGGCCGGAATTGACTTCTCAGGAATTCTGTCTATTTCTTGTTTGCATTCCGTGTTAACCATTAAACTCACCTTACCGGTAGTTTTCAGGTTTATTGTCCATGCAAAGCTATTTCTCAGTTGTTGTTACTTAAGACTAGTGTGGGTTGCGGATTATGAGCATAAGTTGGAGGAGGTCGTTCATAATTGCTTGCAGTGCTATTGTTTGAATTCTATCAGCGCTGATTGTGCTAAAGCTTTGGAAGTGCATTATTGAGATAGACGGAAGTAAACTTTGCATAGTTTATTTGAGTTGTGCTACATCATGACTAAAAGTTTTCCATAAGCCCCCGAATATGTGAACCAAAGTGCTTTTAGTACCTATCGGTCAACCTGTGAGATTTGTTATTGAAATTTAGAGAGAATATCTACCCAACAATAAGCGTCCTTGTGTCAAAACTGGATAACATCGGGACAATAATTCCCCTAGCCCCTATACACCTAATACAACTATTTTCGAACTTTCGGTTGACTTTTTATCATAAAATGGATTAAATCTGGTTCCCCTTAGTTCCCATATACCTAATATCAGTATTTTCAAACTTGGCAATTGATCTTATACAGTATACATAGGTCAATATATTTATAAATTATCTTAACAAAACTCGAAAATAATATTTTCCTGGGGTAGTCGTTATGCAAAAAGGGATACAATTTGGTCAATATTCCGGCTAGCTTATATATCGCTAATAATATATTGTATGATATTTTAGAAAAATTAGGTGACCGAATAATATTGGATATTTTGTAGTTTAACGCGGCAAGTTTGTGAAATTGCTCCATGAATTAGGCCAGCTACCTTAATACAATACATAATATATAATATAAATATATAACGATTTTCATTATTCTAGCAGTCTTGACGAATATGTCGGTCATATGTAAGGTCAAAAAAATTTGTGAATATATGTTCTAGAGTACATTCGATATATAGATTTCCGACTTTCCAGCTGACTTTTAGCAGTTTATTTTGGTCAGTATTCTAATATTTATAATAATTTCTGAGTATCTGGCTGATCTTTTCTTGATATACCCAATATGTTAAATTTAGCGCCTTTGGGTTAAGTTAATATCACAAATAACTCATTTGAGTTAATTAGGTTGATTTGAACATAAATATTTCGGACACGAAGCAAAAAGTAGCTATGAAACAAAGTGAGTATATGACCTAAAATATAATATTATATAAGTTAATAAGATACCAAATATGATTGTAACCCATTCACGGTTTCATCGAATAAAAAATTATGAATTAATTTGTAATAATATTATAAAATGTTCGGCTGCACCTGAACTTTGCCTTTCCCTACTTGTTTAGTAAGTTTATGACAGTTTGGAACATTCACTAGAGAATGGGAAGCTATAAAATAACTTTAATAAAAGAGATAAAAATAGAAATGAAACAAAGTAAGAAATTATGGATAGAAAGTTATACCAGGTGTACCGGTATTAAGTGAGCGTTAAGATACAAATGTGTTAGTAGGGAAAATTTGTTGCGATCGAGCCTTAATTTTTTTTGTTTGGTTAGAATGACATCTGTCAAACATATTCAATAACCTCACAGTCATTGAACAAACAACATCATATTTCTTCAATGTGTTGAAAAAGTCAAATTTTGTACCGGAAAGTGATGACTTGCGGAAAGCATTAACTTTTTGATTCCATTTAAAGAAAAGTGCTGCAGAGTTGCATCGAATGCTTGTCGAGGTCACCATATACTTCATGCTCTATCAGAAGCAACATGCAAAAGATGGTTTCAATAGTTCAGAGATAATGATTTTGATGTGAGAAATGAAGAACGTGGAAGACCACTAAAAAAGTTTGAAGACCTCAAACTGTCAGCAATATTGGATAAAGATGATACTTTGAGTCAAAAGCAAATGTCAGCCATGTTAAATGTTGCACAACAAACAATTTCAGATCGTTTGAAAGCTATTGAAAAAATCCAAAAGTGTTGAAAATTGGTGCCATATGAATTGAATGAAAGACAAATGGAAAACCGAAAAAAAACTTGTGAAATTTTGCTTAACGAAAGAAAATTAGTTTTGCATCGAACGGTCACTGACGATGAAAAATTGATTTATTTTAAGAATCCTAAACGGAGAAAATCATGGGTTATTCTGGGACAAGATCAACATCGACTGCAAAAACAGACAGATACAAAAGATTCGGTAAGAACGCAATGCTCTGTGTTTAGAGGGATCAGAAGGCTGTGGTTTATCATGAGCTTCAAAAATCTGGTGAAACTGTTAATACTAATCGCTACAGACAACAAATGATCAATTTGAACCATGCATTGATCGAAAAACGACCAGAATGGGCCAGAAGACAGGGAAAAGTAGTTTTGTTACACGACAATGCATCGGCACACAGAACCAAATCGGTTCAGGATACGATCAAACTACTTAGATGGGAGCTGCTACCCCACCGCCGTATTCACCAGACTTGGCACGTTCCGATTACCATTTGTTTTCATCGACGAGACACGCATTGGCAGAGCAGCACTTAGATTCCTACGCAGAAGTCGAGAATTGGGTGCCTGATTGGTTTGCTTCAAAAGACGAACATTTCTATTGGTATGACATAATAACTAGAAAGGTGGTCAAAATGTGTAAAAAGTAATGAGTTGCAATTTCTGGAAGAGTAGCAACTGCTGGTATTGCGAGGTATTGCGTTTAGCGTGTGTTACTTTTGCCGAGAACGTACTGTATTTATAAT